TATATATATATATATATAAATCGGAAAGTTCCGTCCATCTAGCGGCGAGTAGTTCTAGCTAGAACTATTGATAACTTTAATGTCTAAACCAAGCTTAATTTTTTAGTTTTACCATCTGTCAATAAACTTCAGTATATAAAAGTATACGTTTGCATCAATAACATTGCTTTTTACTGCGTCGAAAATGTCGATATTTAAGCCAAATCACGTCATTTGAAGAAAACTGCAGCTGAAGCTCATCGAATGCTTGTAGAAGTTTTAGTTTATGGTGATAGTGCTCCTTCCGATAAAACATGCACAGAATGGTTTCGACGCTTTAAAAGTGGTGATTTTGATGTGGAGAACAAAGAGCGTTCTGGACGGTCAAGAGCATTTGAAGACGAAGAATTGCAGGCATTGGTGGATGAAAACCCATGTCAAACACAAAAATAATTTGCAGAAGCAAATTGTTGCTTAAATTGTGCTCAATCTGTTATTTCCGATCGTTTGAAAGCCTTGGGAAAGATCTACAAGGAAGGAAAATGGGTCCCATATGAACTGAAGCTAAAAGACATTGAAAGGCGAAAAATCAGCTGCGAAATTCTGCTTGCTAAGCAACAAAAAAAGGGATTTTTGCACCGAATTGTGACTGGCGATGAAAAGTGGATCTATTTCGATAACCTCAAACGCCAAAAAACCATTTGCGATCTAGACCAACCATCGACATCGACGCCAAAGCGGAATATCCACGGAAAGAAGGCAATGCTCTGTATTTAATGGGATCTGAAGGGTATACTGTATCACGAGCTGTTGAAATCTGGTCAAACAGTCACAGAGGATCTCTACCGAGAACAAATTATCTGTTTGAGCCGAGCACGGAAAACGACCAGAATATGGAACGAGACAGCATAAAGTGATTTTGCTTCATGACAACGCTCGGTCTCACGTCACAAAACTTGTCAAGGAAACGTTAGAAGCACTTCGCTGGGAAGTGCTACTCCATGTGGCTTATTTACCAAACTGTACCCCTTCCGACTATCACTTATTTCGATCGGTGGCACACACACTTGCAGAAGAACACTTCAATTCTTATGAAGACGTCGAAAAATGGGTCTCTGAGTGGATAGCTTCCAAAGATGAGTCATTCCTTTGCTGCGGAATTCGCTTACTGTCCGAAAGATGAGAAAAAGTTATCGCTAACAATGGATATTTTGATTGAGGTACTTTTTTATTTTATTTTTTAAATAAAACCGAACTTCTTGTAAAAAAACGGACGGAACTTTTCGATTGACCTAATATATATTTAGTGTATATATATATATATATA